ACATGTCTTCCAGTAAACTACACGGGGCACTGCCAACCACGAAAAACGCTGAGCAGCAATGTAAAAAATCTGTCATTAAAAGTTGTCTTGTAGCTTCCCACACAGCCCGAACTGCTTTCTTAAAGTGAAAACAACCCAAATGTCAAGGAGCCTCGACAGTCCCCTTTGTTGTTAATACACCCGAGCCTGAGGTGGTTGTTGTCGAGAGGGTTATAAAAGCCTAATTCTGGGCGTACATTTGACACCACCACGTTGGTGGGTGTTTTACTCAGTGGTATAGGAAAAAAAAAAAAACCTTAAAAGAAAAAAAAAAAAGGAAATTGCCATTTGTGAGATTGCAGCAGTTGGTCAAAGTAGGAGGAGGGAATAGATTTTCTTCATGGAGGTATTGTTGCTCAGGCTATTAATATTTATCAGTTGGCTAGACTGCAAAATGATGATGGTCTTTAAGAGATTAATTAAACCATGCTTATTTTTAATCCTTAGAATACAAGTTACTAAACCCATGTGTTTGTATACACACTTCAAGTATGTTTTCAAAGGTAAACTTTTGTCCTAAAGAAGTAGTGTAGGTTAATTTTCCCCTGCCTCTCCAAAGAGGTTTCTGAAGGGAAAATCCTGCTGCCCAAGAGTATGTCTGTATTCCGGAGATAAAACCCACCGCGTTACCACGTTGGAGCATTAGTGAGCAGCTTGAAATCGGTTCGGTCTGGCTGTGGCAAGAGCTTGGCTTTGGTGCTGTGGGGCTGAGCAGCAGCCACCTTCCCCTGCCTGCGCAGGCTGCCTGTGCTACACTGCCCGCACTAGCCAGTCCGAGGCAGGCGAGGCTGCGTGAATACCACACGCCCTTGTTCTTATGGCAGGGTACGAAGGCCCTTTGTGAAAAATACCAGCGTTGCAGAGGAGCACAGGTTCAGTCTTGGCCTTTGGGTCGGCTTAAATGAAGGCGATGGTAACTTTTATTTTGAATTGAGACAGAACAATTGCAAGAGCTGCTACCAAATGTGCAGGTTACATGGAAGGACAAGTTTAAGCAGGCTGGCAAGCGTAAGAACAGAAGGCCTCAACATCATCATAGAATTGTTTAGGTTGGAAAAAACCTTTAAGATCATCAAGTCCAACCATTAAACATCCTCTAGCATGAGACTAGAACAACTAACCAGCTAAACTCAGCTGTAGGCAAATAGCCATGGGAGGTGTGTGGTGTTTCCTGCCTCCTGATGCATGAGCTTCCACAGACCGTGACATACTCAATCTGGTCAAGGATTTTCTGCTCCTAAGATCTGTGGCTTGAGTTCAGGAAGGCTGGCTCACGAATAACGCAGGCTTAGATCCTGAAAGGCGTTTAAGTTCCAGGCTCCCGTAGGAGTCAGTAAATGCCTTTGAGAATCTGGACGTTAAGGCTGTCTTCATGTTGCTTCTTAAGCCATAACTAGAGTTTTATCCTAAACTGAACTGCTGGCCGCACTAAGCTGTTGGAGGTTGGCTGGTGCCTGAAGTTTCGAGCTAGCTGGTCTGTGGCATGGGGCTGAGGTTCAGTTGGTAAAACTGCAGCGCCAGGAGCTCTGTGCTTACCCAGCTGCACTGCACTGCCGATGGGATTGCCACGGCTGAGGAATTGCTTTGTGGTGCTGTTGTCAGGACTGAGCCAGACGATGGGCAGAAGCGGTCCTTTAATGATAGTCTAGACTTAAAAGCAAGCTTGAGAGCTGATCTCTCGCTGAATGCAAAGGCACTGGGACAGGAGTAGCTGTAAGCATGGGCTAGCTTGGTGATGGCAAGCCCTTGGGTGCTCCTGCTGATCCCCTCCTTGGATGCCTACATAAACTCCTATTTTTCAAAACTGTTGGCTGGTGGATGTAAAGAATATTCAGAATAACTTCACTGAAACCTTAAGTAGGTTTCTTCTAGTGACCACTAAAGCAGTTTTACACTGACATAACTGACTTCGTGCAGTTCTGTCCTCTGAGTAGTCCCACTCCTCATGTTTCGGGTCAGCCCTCAGGAGGTACCTGTGAGCGTTGATGGATGCCCAGGCAATTATGAGGAGCTGGACACCTTCATGTTTTGCTTTATGTAGAGCAGAGGTGTGTTGTGAAAATGGAAGAGGCTGCCCCTCCAGTCCTGGCATTGAAAAACTGCATTTGTAACGTCATTGCAGATCTGAGCTGAAATTTGCAGTAGCGCCCAAACTTTCACAGTAGCCTTGGCTTGACTCTGATTGCTTTCAGTGCATCAGGTAACACAGATCCCCTGGTCTGTACATCACTGAAACGGTCTATGTGTATATCTCTGCGACACCTGTGAATCGCTTCTGTTCATGAATTAAATTTGTATCATCTTTGGAGCAGACGTACGGGCAACAGAGTTACGGAACCTATGGACAACCCACTGACGTCAGCTACACACAGCCCCAGACAACTGCGACGTATGGGCAGACTGCATATGCAACATCCTACGGGCAGCCTCCGACCGGTAAGAGCACGCGTGCCTGCAAGGCTTGGCTTTATCCTGGGGAGAAAGTTGAGCTCAAGCCTGCGTTGGGGAACTCCGGCCCAAACCACACTGAATTCCTCTGGGCAGCTCTGCTGTGGAAAGGGCTTCTTGTGGAAAGAGCCTGCCTTGAGTGAAGGGCGGTTCAAAACGATGGGAAGCTGTGGGTGGGCTGCAAAGGAGTAAACAAACACGCCTGTTTCATTTTTCAGGGAACGTTTTGGGTGCTGGTTCGTGCTGTGGAACTAAGCATGGCTGTAGAGCGTGCCCTGCTTAGAGCAAAGCAAACGTGAGCTGCGCGGCAGCGTGCTCTGGGAGAACCGGTGTCCTCAGCACTCGGGTGGTCTGAAAATCAAATCAGTGGAGTATGCCTGTTCTGATAGTGCACCCTCTACTTTTTGTCTTGTGCTTGCCACAGTAGAAGGGACCAGTACAGGTTTGACTATCCTGCTCGCTCTTGCATGGAAAATGCCGTCTCATCCTGTCTAAACTTGTGGTGTTAACCCTTTAGGTGTTCTTTGGTTTTAGTGCTAAAAACATCCAGCATCAGAGTGCACACACAATGGCAGTAAAATTTGCTTAGGCTGCAGGGCTGTTTGCCATCCCCACATCTCTGTAGAGTCTCCGAGCGGCGTACTTTATGGATTAAACTTCCGAGTGCTAATGACAGCCATGCCAAGACGTTTCGGGTGAATCTAACCCCATTGTCCTCCCATTTCCTAAAGGGTAAACAGCATGGTTAGACATGTCCAGACGTCCTGACCACCGCCTTTGCATGTTCCATGTTGTCTTTGGATTTCCAGTGTGGACGCATCCGTCACACGTTCATTAATGTGCTGTAAGCAATTCCAACATGTGCTCTTTGAACTGGAGTTTTGTACGTACGAGCGTCTTAATGTCTGAAAGAAACTGTTGGGACACCATTCAATTCTGGTGTATTTGGACTGAATATTCAGGAGATTTTGAAAAAGAAAATGGATTTTCCTCCAAGTAATGCCGGGCACCATGTTCTGCAGATTCATCCCTTGCTATAAGAGACATCATAAATGTGGGAGCTTTTTGAAATACTTCCCAAAGCAAGGGAATACCAGGACAGGGTATCTGGCCACAGAAGCCATCGGGGAATGCTTCACAAGGAAGAGGTGGAGAGAAAATGTCTATGCAGTTATACTGCACTTAAAGTATTGGACATCTTTACACAGATGAGGGAAATTCCTGGCTGGCAGTTAGTGTGTGTCCTGCAGAATGGGAGCCAGTACCCTTTAACCGGTGTCGCTTTGAGTTAGCTACAGGTTTTTTTCCTTTCATTTAGAAGTACATGGACATAAATTGGCAGCAAAAAGGATTTGTGGATTTCCAAAACTGCTCCTGTTTGAGTCCCTTAATCCTTACTACAGACTCCAGTCCTGCAGGGGTCACGGGAAGCTGCACTGTTTATAGGTTTACCTGCCCCTTAAGAGCGTATTTGCTGGAGGAATACTAATATTAGTCTCCTTTTCTGCACAGCTGAATTTTTTTTAGGCAAAAAGCTTTTTTCCTTTAATCAAAAAAAAATCAAGAAGTGGTCAAACAAGATCATATCAGACCTTCAAGTATGATTTGCCTCAATCCGCGTAGCATTGGTCTGTGGCAGAACTGTTGACGTTACTCTCCAGGCAGAGTGCCAGGCTGTATTTATTCTTCTTACACCTGCCTCTCCTTGAGGAGCTGGAGCTGTGTGAATGAGACTGATGGTGCTTAAAGCCTGTCTCCCTCTCCCAATCTCTGCCTTTCATGCTAAATAAAGCCGGGGGTGTTGCCTGGGGCGTACATCTTTACTCCCTGAGAGACATGCAGTTTTTCCTGTTGAATCTCAATTTATTTTTCCTAGGCATCGCCTTTTTGTAGCAGAGGGATGTCTGCAATTACTTAAAAGTAGAGTGCCTTTTTTTGTCTTAACAGCCTGGTTTTGCAGTAAGATGCCGTTGTGGTCAGGGAAATTCAAATCCTGCACAGATACACCCTCAGGACTCCGCAGGAACAGCAGAGACGGTTCCCTGGTGGCCTCAGAGCCTCAGACGAGGGCTGGTTTAACCTGCCAGGGGACCTTTCCATCGAAAGGGCAGTGTTACCGCCCAGGTTGCACTTCTTCCCTCTCCGGGGCTTCAGGAAAAGGTGTCTTGGAGTCACCTCATCACTTCGTTAGGGAGAATAGGCCTTCAGGAGCCTGCGGGCTCGCCTGCAGCTCCCCGGACGGCAACTGGATTAGGGGCTTAATCGGCACTGTCAGATCTGTGCTTGTGGTTTGCTCTTTAATCACTGGGGTGTACAAGCATGAATTACAAGAGTAAATAAAGAGCTGCATCTGTTAGGGTTTATTGGCTTTCTAACAATGTCGTTTGGGGGCAAAGATATCATTTCAAATGTCCAAGTATGAATTTCCTTTAAGTACCTTTAAGTACCTAAGTGGGAATTACTCTCTAAAGGCAGCCAGCCCCCACTTCTCTTTTTACCTGTGAAATTTAGGGTTATGTCTATTTGAAGTTTCTATTGTATTTAGAATTTGAATGAACACACCTGCAGCTGTCTTGGCTCCCACAATAATCTGTTACACCGAAATAGAGCAGAGAGAAGGTAGCCTCTGCGTCCCCTTCTCCAGACCCGCCAAACTGGAGTTTGGCTCTCTTTGGGCTCTTGGACCCCACGGGTAGTTTTTAATACTGCTTGCATCAGAGAAACCTTCAAAAACATCTGCTAGCAGACGTGAAGCCTGCTTGTTTCAGAATCAATCTCTTTGAATCCAGTCTTGAACTTGATGTTCTCTGAGGACTGAATCCTGCAAGCTTCCCCTCCGCCTGAAGAATTCCTGGACTCCAATAAGGGTTTTGCTTGCAGGCTTGGATACGTGAGGAGTACCTGAGAGGAAACCGAGCCGTGTAACTGGGCTTCTTAAGCAGGTTATCAAAGTTCTTCCGTTACCTTTTCCTTACAGTATCTGTTCTGCAGACTCGCCATGTTTCTTGCTAACTGCTGAGGTGAGGAGAGACAAGTGATGTGATGTAAATGCCCCCCTCAAGAATACAGCTCTTGAGGATTTTCACAGTACCTAAACTAAGTTGTTGAAATGAAAATTTAGACCTGTGGGATGTGAAATCATGCCTTTTTCTTTGGTGCAAAACAGGGACAATGCTCCATCTAGAGCCAAAGCATTACAATTCCGGATTTTTATTCTTTTTTTCCCTTCCTTTTTATTCCACTGCCTGTGCAGGGCCAGGTGTTAGCAAACCTGCTCACTTGCTTGATTTGGAGAGGTCAGCGCTGCCAGCGACTCTACCGGGAAAGGGGGCCCAGATGTGGGAGGAGCACCCTGTGGCTCCAAGTCTGACGACAACAGCCCAGGGCAAGGCTGCGGCTTCAGCAGCACTTACTGCAGGCTGTACTTAGCAAACAGCAGGCTTTTTTAATATGTGGTTGGGCTTCAGCCGGTTCAAATAAGGATTCTTCTAACTTCTGGTGTCGGTGCTCTCTATGGAAATGCTGTGGTGGCTGACATTTAAGTGTTTGAAGTGTACAAATTTGTGCGAGGCTCTAAAAATCGCGCTCATTTTATCCTGTTTGGCATCATCCCATTCACCCCGCTCAGCAACACTCAGAACAGGACTTTGCTTTTCAGAGAACCTCTCAGCAAAAAGCAGTAATGACCATGAAAACTGATTTGCTTAGCAGTTCGTGCAAGTTATTTCTCAGTGGGAGGTGAGCTTACTCTCTGGCTTTCATGTTTCCAGGTTGGCAGCCCTGCGACGTGGAAGCCAGGCTGGGGGGGTCAGCGGGAGGGGGG